TAGATAGAATTTTGTCATAGAGGAATAAAGTTAACGGACAAAGAGCATGGTGTACATAGATTCTTTTCCCCCAGATAATGCCACGCCAGATGTAGCGTCTTCCCCAGGACTCTGGGAGGAATTTTCTCAGGGCAGGGACTTGGGAAAATTCCATTACCTGTGATGGTCCCTGAAACTTGAAGTGAGTGATATATGTGTCCCGTTTATGGCTGAGCATCTGGCTATCACATTGACCAGTTTTGAGTTTCTGCAGTTACCACTGCCCACGACAAAAAGGAGCTTCCCTGACCAAAGCTAACAGCAACTCTAATCTATAGCCATAAACATAGTTGTGTAGAAAGCAATTCGACAAGCATATCATGTCCATTTAGCAAAGGAGATTTCCCACTGAGGCATATAACCTCTTCAGATGCATACTTTTGCCTAGATTTACCATGACAGATGTCAGATCCTTCTTGTGGAGTGAGTGTTAATCCAACTAGAAAGTATTTGGTTACCTCCATAACAGAGTTGGTCCTATTGCATCCATGGGCACATCTTGCCTAGCCAGTTGATAGTTTTGCACACAGGATCTGCAGCTGAGTAAGATTGTCAATAATGAGTCCCCTAGCAGCGTCTGGCATTACATGAGTTAACACAGAGGAAGTTTCCAGCCTAGATACAGTTTGATTTCTCTCTGTCTTGCATCCAGGAAGTGTGGTCCTTTTAGTAATTGGATCTAGTCATCTACTTCTGATGAGGAACCAATAGCAGTGAAAATTGCCTGAATTGTTTTGGGGTCTGCAGGAGTCTCTTTAACTAATAACTTATAGGGAAATATCCCATCCTTTGTGCTGAGATGTACATTTAATAGCCCATGGCTTCTGGGAGAAGCTTTATCCAATCATATACGGTGCTTCCACTTAAATTCTTTTAAAATTTTACTTCAAAGATTAGTTTATGGAGCATCAGGTATCCCTATGGCATTTTTTGGTTGCTTTATCCCCTCTACCCCCCTGTCTCCTCACCCCCACTTAAACCTTTCCACCCCCAGTATTCCCCCTTCCACTTTTGGGTCACTTTCATTCTATTGTATCCTTGTCACTAAAGCCCCTTTTCTCCCTTCTCACAAGCCCTCTCTAGAGTCCTAGAATATATATTTACTCAGTTGTACACATATATGAAAGTCAGCTAGGCTCCACTTAAGAAAGAGGGCAGACTGTGTTCGTCTTTCTGGTTACCTCATTTAATATTGTATTTTTCAGATCTGTCTATTTTCCTTCAAATGTTGAAACCACATTTTTCTTTACCTCTGAGTAAAATCCCAGTGGTTACCTGTGCTACTTTCATTATCGACTCATCAGATGATCAACTAGGCTGACTCCATTTCCTTGCTGTTGTGAACAGAACAGCAGCAATAAACATGGATGTATAAGTATCTCTGTGATTAAAAAAAAACATTTTTTCACAAATAATTTAGATATAGTGGAGCATTTGTTATCACTTATGGAAAATTTTACATTAGTTCAGATTCCCAGACACAAGCCAAGAGTCGGCATTGAAGACAGCTTCTGTAGTTACTGCGGCCCAGGCTACTGTGTTAATTCTGTCCTGCACACTTACACTGTTGGTCATAACAGAGTTACTTTGCAACACCTCCTGAAAGCACTGGCTGCTAACTAAATCGTGATATATGTGTGCATTCATATTTGGTTGCCTGTGTGTTCGTTTTCCGCCTCTCCTACTAGAAAGCTACAAGAATAAGGCTGTTATTTCTTAAAGCAGTGTCCCTCGCACCTCAACCGGGACTTCCCTTAAAGGCGCTTGCAGATATGGGTGTATGCAGGAAAGAAAACAAACCAATATCCTTAGAGCATTCATGGGGGCAAGTCCGTTGTGGGTGGCCATAACTATCAGAATCGACAAGGGCATGACCTTTGCTTTCCAAGGCAGTATTGTCACTGAAATTCCTGGTCTGGCCACTGGTAGCTAGTCTCTTGAGACCTTGCTTGCTGCTATATGAAGAACAAGAGCGAGGGATGTTCTGTGTCTGCTCATTCTTTCCCCTTTTTTCTTAGTAAAAATAAACAATGTGCTGGTGAGTCTTCCCTGTGTTCCTCCACACTCTCAGAAAGCGCTGGATTACATATATCCCAAGGGGGAAATCATATTCTTTTAGAAGAACAACCATCCGTGCAAACTTGGAGAACCCCTGGAGGACTCGTGAATGGGAATGGACTCCTGAACTGGAAATCAGTTCTTTCTTAATGTCTTCTATTACTATTGCTCTAGCAGTTGAATGGAGTCATGTTTTCATCTTATGTAATATGAAGGGACAATTCAACTTCCAGTGAGCAAAGAGAATTTCCCTAGAGCTACATAAGACAGGGCTAAGTGGTTATATAAACATACATGAAAACGTAAAAATTTTAAGGAGAGACTAAACATTCTATGGGACATGTCACCCTCAGGGAAATTAACGGCAGGGTCAACAAGCACATTACGGGGGGAGCTTAGACACTTTTATGGCTACACTACGGAAGAAGAAATGACTTATGTAGACATTTGTCATGACCCACTCTAAGAAAGTAAAAGCAATATGTTTTGTCTTGGAGTACCAGGGCATATAGGAAGAAATGCAGCCATGAATGACCATAGGGCATGTTCTTTGAGGTCAAAGCAAACAATGTATCAGTAAAGGATCCTGCAAGCATCAGGTAGCATTCTCAGAAGGATGGACTAAAAAGGACTGAACTAAGCTTTTAGTTAGAGGTGTAGACAGATGCAGAGAAATCACAAAGGACGGGGAGCCACCCAGAGACCAACAGCAAGGTGAAACTCGTGCCACTTTAATCCTGAAGACAGCAAAATATGGAAGTGGTGTTAGTAGAACCAGCAAAAGTTATAGACCTGCAAAAGGAAGCAATCAATAGGGTCTGCAGCTATACACAGACAGGGCCAGGATCATGAGAAAAGAGCAGTGGGGGCAGAGGCTTTGACAAGGAACCCTACTCCTTCTTCCCCTAGCCTTAGAGCACCTTCACACGCAGAGACATTTTAGAGTCTTTGAAGAGACCCCCAGAATTAGCTTTTACAGTCATGTGTTTCTGGAAATGTGGTACACGTAAGGTATGTTTGCCTTAAACTGGCATTGGGGCTAAGGATATAGCAGAGTTTGTACAATGCTTGCCTCTCACGGCACGAATATAACCCAGGAGGGTCACAGGCTCCTGTAATCCCAGAACTCGGGAGGTATTGGAATAAGGGTCAGAAGCTCACGGTTATACTTGGCTAAACAGTGAATTTGAAGCTAATCTGTGCTACTTGAGACTGTCTCCCCTATTATCACCCTGTCAGATGGCATTTACTGTATGGAAGAATTCTATGAATCTAGCTAATGGGATACTGAACTGGGGTTCAGTGGGCTACCAGTGGATGGTTTACAATCAACATGGTGTGGGAACAGCCTTCAGGAATGCCCCTCCAGTTCATAGCCTTGACTGATCACGAGTCCAGGTACCAAGCCAGGGTCCTGAGTGGTGTAAAGGTGGGCTGTGGCTGTGGAGGAGAATAAGTCCTCATAGAAATTAAGCCTGAGGCCAGTCTCTGTGAATTCTTCCAATCATCAAAGGTGCTTGGACAAATGTCCAAGTTATCTCTTGACAAACATATGTTGAAAATAAATATAATTCAGGGCTTGCAATTCTAAAAGCAGTGTACTCCTCTCTCTCTCTCTCTCTCTCTCTCTCTCTCTCTCTCTCTCTCTCTCTCTCTCTCTGTGTGTGTGTGTGTGTGTGTGTGTGTGTGTGTGTGTGTGTGTGTGTGTGTGTATGTGTGTGTGCGTGTCTTTCTCATGGGAATTGTATAAAGTGGAAGAATTGTATAGAATCTTTGTTCCAGTGGGACATAAACCAATATTAGCATTGCCCATATGTAATTTATGACAAGTATATCTTGTAATGTATTTTGTAGGCCACAGGTAAAAAATTAACATATACAAGTATATTCTAAAATATGCAATAATTGCTGATATTTAAGAGACTGTGCTATTCATCTGACAAGAAGCTAAACATTTTATAAATTCTGTGTGTGTATGTGTGTTCCTGTCTGTCTGTCAGTCTGTGTTGTGTCTCTGTATCTGTGTGGGAGTGTTTATACACCTGTGTGTGTATGCAGAGGCCAAAGGTCAACATTGGTGTTGTTCTTCATGAGCTGTCCATCTTGGTTTTTTGGAGACAGGGTCTCTTGCTAATTATACTGGGCTGGCTGGCCAGTGAGCCCAGGGACCCTCCTGTCTTTGTCCCCAGTGCTAAAATTACAAGCACCATGCTTGGCTTTTTACATAGCTTCTGGGGATCAAACTTGGGTCCCAATGTTTACAGAGCAAGTGCAAACCTAATGTTTACACTTGACTGACTGAGTCATTGCCCCAGGACCAACCTCTTAGGACTCTTAGGCTGTGGGTGCAATCCCATATGGGTAGCATAACCAAATGAAAAATCATGAAAATTTGGTAACAACAACAACAAAAAAAGGTTTTTGAATGTGCAATGACTAAGACCTAATTTAAAATCAAATGCATAATGAATGAGGAGTGTTTCTGGCAGTGCTTACCTACGCCGCCTCACACAGCTTCACGGCAGCCTTGGCTCTGCATCCAGCACACGCACTTCACACCGTGTCTGCCGTCACTCCACACAATGTCAGAAAATGCGGTCGGAACACCTTGACTCAAATTTAAGGCAACCGAGTGTCATGAACTGCAGTGTTTTTATTGTGCAAACAAAGTTTTCTGCTCCTATACAAGCATGCGATTTGATTATGGGAAACAAAGACTTTAATATTTTTCTACTGTAATTCTTCAGCATATAAGCATCAAATTAGCATATCCTTGGGGTTCTTTGTGTTAGAATGTTGATTTTAAAAGCTGCTTCTTGAGTTCCTCACTTGTTTCATTTTTTAAAAAGGGCTGGAGTGGAGAAATGGCACAATGGTCAGGAACACTGGTTGCTCTTTCACAGGACCCAGATTCCGTTCCCATCGCTCGGTGGCTGGAACTTCTATCCAAGGGGATCCATCATCCTTTTCTGGCCTCCTCCAGCACCAAGCATGCATATGGTGTGCAGACAGATATACATGTAGGCAAAACACTCATACACATAAAATAATAATTAAAAAATCATTTAGGCTGAAGATTCAAGCCAGAATATTTGAAATAGCCCTAAATATATTTCTGTCATGTTGAACTACATATTTGTGTGAAGCAGCATTCTTAGCACTGACAATTATAAAATCAAAATATCTATCAACTCTAAATAATGTTGAAGATGCTGTGCCTCATGGCTTTAAAATTCAACCAAGATTTAATTCTTTATGTAAAAATAAATAGTGCATGTCATTATCACACAAATTTGTTTCGTCTTTAATAAATAGTAATATATGCATAGTAAGTATCTATACATATATATCAAAGAATTATTTTATGATAGATTTCCTTTCCAAGATAGATTTCTTGTAGATGAATTTTTAAACAGTCTTATTAAATAAAAAACACAGAGCCAAATACAGAGGTAATAGCCACAACTAGCCTTAGCTTACCAACCAGCAGTTGCTTCCACAACTAGCCTTAGCTTCCCATCAGCAGTAGCTTCCACAGAGAGAGCTTCTTCCTGCCTAACCTGTGCTTTTATTGCCTTCCTGTTCTGCCTTCTCATTGGCTCTAAGCCCAGCCACATGACTTCCTCATCACTTCTGTCTGTACAGACCTCCAGGTCTCCATGGTTGGTACTGGGATTAAAGGTGTGTGTCGCCGGGCGGTGGTGGCACACGCCTTTAATCCCAGCACTCGGGAGGCAGAGGCAGGAGGATCTCTGTGAGTTCGAGGCCAGCCTGGTCTACAAAGTGAGTTCCAGGAAAGGCGCAAAACTACAGAGAAACCCTGTCTCGAAAAACCCAAAAAAAAAAAAAAAAAAAGGTGTGTGTCACCACGCTTGGCTGTGTCCTTCACCACACAGAGACTCTGCCTGCCCTGTGATCGGGATTAAGGGCTTGTGCCACCACTGCCTGACTTCTGTTTATGACTCACTATGACCTCTGATCTCCAGGCAAACTTTATTTATTAACATACAAATAAAATATCACATTTCAGCACAAATAAAGTATCAGCACAATTTCTTTACTTTTTTTTTTAATCATCAAACATTGGATTGTTTGCTCTGTATGCCTGTTTTATACCTATATACTCAGGTCCTGTAAAATCTTCCTGAGTGAAAGTTTTGTTTTATTTTTTGGATGGCCCTCCCTTCCTAGTCACACTTGTTAAGCCAGGTCTCGGGCACTGACCTCTACTGCTCCTCCTATGACCTACTTTTGGAATCAGGGTCTATTTATGTAGCCCAGGCTGAGTAGGGACTTGAAATCCTCCAGCCTCAGTTGTCCCAGTTGCTAGGATCCCAGGCATGTGCACCACACCCAGATAAGTCAGATGGACTGCATGGCAGTTTAAAAAGCCCCTGTTAGAGATATAAACATCCAGTAACGACTATCCTTAGTCTGGTTTTCTTCTCTTTTACATAATATTTTTATTGATTATTTGGAAATTTCACATAAGGCACCCTGATGACATTCACTTTGCAGTCCTCCCAGGTCCACCTCCCAACACACACACCCCTCTGACCTCCTCCAAAACAAAAGAAGAAGAATTAAAAAGGGGGAAGACAAGAAAAATGCCAAGTCTACTTTATGTTACCTGTATACCGACTAGAGTATGGTCAAACTCCCCGTGGCCAGCACTATAAAGAAAACTGAGTTCTCCCTCACCCCCAACCCTGCCAGAAGCCATCAACTATGAAGAGCTACACTTGAGCATCTGTATGACAATTTTTAAGAGGTTTTTTTTGGGGGGTGGGGTGGGGAAAGGTTGTCACAGAAGACATTCTCTCATTCTCAGCTGTGAGTCTGTAGTCATCAACATCATCTCAAAAAAAGCTTCCTTGCCCTTTCTAGTCAGTGACGGCAAGGATCATCGACTTCCACATGGTTTCTGGCTACAGCATGAGCCACAGACATCAACATGGCTTCAGGTGGCTCCACAGACCATAAACATCCACACACCCTTCAGTGGTAACACCAGCCAGGGACATCCACACATACCTCACACCCCACATCTCCCCCAACACCCCCACAGACCATAGAGACCAACATGGCCCTCCATGGCAGCAGAGACATCCACATAGCCTCAGGCAGCAGCAGCAGCACAGCGCACGTGGCTTCGGGCAGAAGCATAGAATGGACATCCCCGTGGACTTTTGTGGTAACATGGGCCATGGGGATCAACACAGCCCCTGGCTGCAGAAGAGTCACACACACTGACATGGCCTGAATCAGCCTCGGGGATATCAGCATGGCCTCTGGCAACAACATGGACCACAGACTCTATCTAGCATGACTCATTATTAAGACCAAAATCTGAAAGAAGAGAGGAATACCGCTTCAAAAGAATAATCAAAGAAGTTTTTTTTTTCCTTCCTCAGAATAAAAGCTCCAGGGATAGAGCAGAAGTCGATAGCTGAGCCCCAGAGCAATGTCAAGACGCACCAGAGGGCTGAAAGTAGAACAGAATTGATTTAGTTTTATGCCTCTGTATTAGAAGACTAAGTTTATATTTGCTTTCTGAGTTTAACTCTATGAAAACTGAGTCAGTCAAGAGTTAAATATCTTGGCTTTACTCCCTTCAGATTCTGAGATATCTGTCAGAAAGCATCCATTTTGCAGCCAGAAATGGCTAGCTTAAAACCCTAGCACTGCTATTTATTTTTCTAGGAGATAATGAAAAGCTGTAAGAAGCCGGGCAGTGGTGGCGCACGCCTTTAATTCCAGCACTTGGGAGGCAGAAACAGGTGGATCTCTGTGAGTTCAAGGCCTGCCTGGGCTACAGAGTGAGTTCCAGGAAAGGTGCAAAGCTACACAGAGAAACCCTGTCTTGAAAAACAAACAAAAACAAAACAAAAAAACCAAAAAAAAAAAAAAAACCCAAAAACCAAAAAAAGCTGTAAGAGCCCTTTGAATCTCAGTTTCTTCAGCTCTGAAATGGGATGCTGTTGACTTCATTGCATTGTGGGTGTTGATGCAGGCATTAAATTTAAAACTCCTAGCCTACTGCTACATATAACAGGCATGAACTAGCAGCTCTGTTTGAAAATGAAAATAAAATCCAAGCATGTTTTCTGGAGGAAAGTGCTGCACAAACACAAATCAGACATTCCAATTCCAACACCACCTAGCTAATATGTTTTATGAAGCAATCAGATGTAATTAAAAAAAATTTTTTTGAACTCACCCCAAACCTCTCCAGCCCTCACGCTTCTAAAAGTGGAACCCAAGGAGGAGGGGAAGTCCTCATCTGCGCACTGCACTCTTTGAATATGAAATTTAAATAAAAGCCTTCACAGTGTGTTTAGATAGGACCCCATGGCTTTGGGGCAGATAAATCTGCTTCAATTAGAATCTAATCCTACTCACTTGTACGCGCACTGCTTTCACTAAAACCAGCGAGAAAGAAAAACAATAGTCTGTTTAATTAAATTATGCTAAAGCCCGAATTCAATCCAACTGTGTATTAAGAAGTGAGACTATGAATACGGAATGAAATGCTCTGCACAAACTTCACGACCTGCTCCCCAACCCCTTCACATTTCAGGGATGCGCCTTCCTCATTCACACCTTGTGCTTTAAGGCAAATTCAGCAGCTCTAGCCAGACACCAAACATAATTCTACTGTCCCCTCATCTTCCTTCCTCCAGTTTGCTGTCCCTGGCTTCTGGTAGAACCCTATCATTCCATCTCAGGTGGCCATTTCCCTCCTGTTGCTCATGGTGGTCATCTATTTCTTGGGCAGGATCATGGGCTACGAGAGCCCTGCCTTTCCCTTCTACCTGCTCTCTCTCCTTTGCCAACTGTCCTTTAGAAGGGACCTGAAGCTTCCTGGGTCCTCATGCTGAGAAACACAGAAAAACTGCAGGTTTTGCTTGCTCAGATAATAAAAAAATATATGCATGAACATCAAAGCTAACAGTGCCTGTTATTTGGAAGCATTTGATGACCCACCAAGAGTCAGAACTGCAATCCATTTCTTCAATAAATCGATGTAATATTACCCTGTGCGACATGGTAATGACCTGCTGCTTATAAATGAAAAGGAGGAGGAACTAAAGGTAAGATTAGGCATTACAGCAGTCACAGGCAACAGTAGGGTTACTCGAGGAGGTTCTCTCTTTTGTTTTGATGTTTAGAGACAGTGTCTTACTTCATAGCTTGGGCTGTCCTTCAACTTACTGTGTAGTCCAGGCTAGCCTTGAATTCAAGGCAATTCTTCCATCTCAGTCTCCCAAGCACTGGGATTGCAGACATGAAGTGCCATGTCCCAGGCTCTGGAGTTTTTAATTATAATAAGGCCCAACTAGATCTGGTGGCATACACCCGCAATCCAAGTTACTGGGGAGGGTGAGGCAGAAAGATGGAAAGGTCAAGGTCTTTCTGAGCTTCAGACTATGTTTAAATCATCTTAGGCAACTTAATGAGACTCTGTCTAAAATTAAAAAAATAGAAAGAAAAAGAAAAGGTGGGTGATGCACGGTAGAATGCCTGCCTGATATGAGGCCTTTGCTTTAATTCCAAATACTGCAAAGATGAGCATGTAAAAATAAGTAAGTAATGAATAAATAAACAACAATGAGCCCCTAGCCCCACTTCACTTTATTTATCTGGTATTGGGCTCATAATGTATAACATAACAGGAAATTTATCATCTTTGTTGCTGTTAAGTACACACCTCAGTATCCTTGTAGTGGGTCTGAGTGAGACTAGCCCTTATAACTCATGTTTGTACATTTGGTCTCCAGTTGATGAAACAATTTGGGAAGGATTAGGAGGTGTGACCTTGTTGGAGGAGGTGTGTCACTGGGGGTGGGCTTAAAGATTTCAAAACCCCAAGCCATTCCCAGTGTGCCTTATTCTCTGTATCCTGCTTCTGAATCCAGATGTGAGCTCTCAGGTGTTCCTGCCATACCTTTGCTCTGCCATCCATACTCTGATCCTCTGAAACTGTGAGCTCAATTCAACACTTTCTTCTGTAAGTTCCTTGGTCAGGGTATTTTGTCATAGCAATAGAAGAGTAGCCAAGGCAGTCATATTCTCACATTGTTGAAAATGATGTATGCAACACGTTTGTCTTCCAAACCTGAAATTCTGCTCACCTTAAACAAGAACTCCCTATCTTCTCACCACCAGGCTCTCATCATCACTTCTGTTCCATATTTTTTTGTGAGTTTAGCTGGTTTGATAGTCATGTGAATGAAATCATAGCATTTGTCTTTTTGTGACTGGATTACTTAATTTATCATAATATCCCCTAACTTCATGTTGTAGCATATAACAAGATTTCTTTCCTGTCTCCAGCTGAACCATGCCCCATCGTGTGTTCAGTAAATATCCCATCTTGCTCATTCATTAGTTAACAG